CCGGAGCTCCACGTCACCAACCGCGAAACGCTCCTCAATTCACTTCGCCGCCACCTCTCTGAATCTTCCCGCCCCCTCTACGGCTTCGTTCTCCTCCAAGTAATCCACTTTCTCGTCGTTAATTTCAATTAAATATATTTTATAAAAAAAATTAATAAACTTTGGTTTTGATCAACTTCTTGTTCAGGGAGGCGAAGAGCAGAATCGCTATGACACTGATCACACCGAGCTCTTCAGGTACCCAGTTGAAATAATTAATATTATTAATCATGTTTCAAATTATTATTAATTTTCAGCGTAGCTTTCGGTTTTTGCATTGCATGATTAAGTATTATTTGATTTAATGGAATCCCAGTATGTAAAATGGACATTTTGATTATCCAGTGTGATTATATTTTAATATTAGAGATTAAAATTTTCCATTTAATTAACTTGGATAAGAAAGATCAATGCTTTTTATTTATTTATTTAATTTATTTTTATTGATGGATGATTTGTTTGTTTATTTTCTGATTAGTGATTGATTTTGTTACAGACAAGAGAGTTACTTTGCTTACTTGTTTGGAGTAAGAGAGCCTGGTTTCTATGGAGCTATAGTAAGTACATATAGTTGTGACATTCGGGTTGTTCTCGAATGTGAATATATCTTTGTTAGGTGTTTGTTTATGTAATGTTGAAGCTGAGATAGATAAGCTTTTGTGGGTCACACTTAATTTTTCTTCGGAACTGATCTTTTTGTTCCATTTTTCCCGAAGGACATTGCAACAGGGAAGTCTGTTCTCTTTGCTCCGAGATTGCCTGCTGAATATGCTGTTTGGTTGGGAGAGATAAAGCCTTTATCTTACTTCAAGGTGATTGTTAGTTTTAATACATTTCTCTGTCAACATAAGAAGCAGTCATTACTCATTAGCTCACATTTGTGTTGTTCTTTTGCAGGAAAGATATATGGTTAGCATGGTACACTATACTGATGAGATCGCAACAGTTTTGCATGATGAATACAAGGGATCCGGTAAACCTGTATTGTTTCTCTTGCATGGGATCAACACTGATAGTGATCTATTCTCGAAACCCGCGGAGTTTCAGGTATACGCCCCTTTTATATCAAATCATACTTTCATAATAAGACTTGCTACACAAGTTCATGGTTAGGATGGTTAAGAAGGCTGGCCTTGGAGAGTGATAGGTGTTAGGTTGAATAGTTAAACAAATTAATAACAACAATATATGGTAATGACATGCTACATTCTCCTTTTCAAGCACATTTTTCTATAATGCTTTACTGATAGCATGCCCCACTTAGTGGGATAAGGCTTTGTTGTTGTTGTTGCTTTACTGATAGCATAACTACCTTGAAATAGGTATATATATTTCCCTCAATAGTTTTGATGATTTTAAGGACTTGGTAACAAGCTTCATTGGTTTTATAAAGTAAGCTTCATACTTTAAGTAGATTCTTAAATTTTAATATATATTCTTAATCTTTGTATAGGGGATTGATAAGTTTGACACAGATTTGACTACCTTGCATCCAGTTTTGAGTGAATGCCGTGTTATAAAATCAGATCCGGAGCTTGCCCTTATCCAGTTTGCCAATGATATAAGTTCTGAAGCTCATGTGGAGGTAATCTTTTATGAAAATGTTCGATTGCACAAATGTGTTTGATATATACATCATATATGTATTTTAATTAATAAACGTCCATTTAACACTTCTGCATATAATCCTTGAAAGTATATCTGTGAGTACATGCCCTTTATGCACTTCTAATAGCAAGAAGCAGCTTAGGAATGGATCAGTTAGTTCACTACTGCATGAACTTTGTGCACATTTGAAATCCTGATTCTGGGCTCTTTCTCATCAGAATGTTTCAAAACTTGACTCTCTTTTTCTTAGTCATGTTTGCAATTTTCCATTTGACCAGGTTATGAGAAAAATTAGGGTAGGCATGTACGAGTATCAGCTGGAAAGCATGTTTCTTCACCACACCTACATGTATGGTGGCTGTAGACATTGCTCGTACACATGTATTTGTGCTACTGGTGATAATAGGTAGGCTTTTCGTCATCAAAAGTTATTGTTTTTGTTTCCATGAGGTAGTCCCAATAATCCAGTTGGTTCCAGTAATTAACAGATCATTTTTATTTCATTATAGGATATGAATATATTGATATTGAGGTTAAACCTCAACTGTAAAATATTGCTAAAAAATCTATTGTTTTGAAAAATACAGTGCTGTTCTCCATTATGGGCATGCAGCAGCTCCGAATGACAGGGTAAACTATACTTCACTACTGAGTATTTTGTCAAAATTATGAAAATTAGCTAAAACTCATAACATCTTTTGTGCAGATCTTGGAAGATGGAGATTTGGCATTGCTTGATATGGGAGCTGAATACAACTTCTATGGTTCTGACATCACTTGTTCTTATCCAGTGAGTATGTGCATTTTTGTTTAAAATTGTTCGTTTAGCTATGGTTGAGGTTCTCTGAACTGAGGGGGTAATAAATAGAAGTAAGCAGGAGACTCTTCTTACGGTACTGTGGACAATGTCTATTTGTTTGAATTTTCCCTGAGGTTTTCTCAGAATTCTTTCAACTTTATCTGCAGGTGAACGGAAAGTTTACCCCTGACCAAGCACTTATATATAATGTAAGTGCATTAGTGTTATTGTCGCATTTTTCGTTTCTATAATTTTTCTTTTTGCTCTTTGTTTTGGTTCACGAATGTGCACACATGCATGATGTGTGTGCTTATGGCTCCTGACTGGTGTGTAGCGCCTGCTTTAGTTTACACAACATTCATATTTCTGCGTCCAACGATTTATAGCATTTTTACATATTTACTTTTTGTGTCTAATTATCTTGCTTTTGCAGGCTGTCCTTGATGCTCACAATGCTGTTATATCTACAATGAAACCTGGAGTAAGCTGGCTTGGTATGCATAAGTATGTCTAAAGTCAACCATGTTCTACAAAAAATATTTAGGCTTTTGCAAATATCATTTAAATTCTGATTCTCTTTGCCTCCTTATAATTTGCAGACTAGCAGAAAAGGTTATTCTTGAATCATTGAAGAGAGGGAGGATCCTAGTCGGGTAACAATCATTGTATCTCGATTGTATCTCTAGTATTCCAATTATGTGCAAGTTTTCACTAGTTTCGGGAGGATAACTTAACATAACTTGCTCATGGTTGTTGGTTCTAGGAACGTTGATGATATGATGGTCAAACGACTGGGTGCTGTTTTTATGCCTCATGGTCTTGGGCATTTGCTTGGTATTGACACTCATGATACTGGTGGCTACCCAAAGGTTATTTTCAACAAGTTATTCTATACCTTTCTGGTTTATCTTTCATTATTTTTTTAAATAATTTTGGCATTACTCCTTGGGAGAACTTGGGAACAACTGCATAATTTGCAGGGAACGGAGAGATCAAAAGAACCTGGATTGAAGTCTTTACGTACAACAAGAGAACTCCAAGAGGGAATGGTTAGTATCAAATTTCGTGTGATTGATATTCTTATTCCTTTTTCCCCATTAATATATAAAGAATTAAATATCAAATCCTTTCACCGGTTTTCTGAATCTTTATTTTCTGAACCCTGGCGAAAATGAATTCTATTGCACTTGACGCTTTGTCTTGGTGGGTTGTTCTGTAGGTGATAACGGTAGAGCCTGGTTGCTACTTCATTGATGCTTTGTTGGTTCCAGCTATGGGAAACTCAAATACTACCAAGTTCTTCAATCATGAAGCAGTTAGTAGGTTTAAGGGTTTTGGTGGAGTTCGAATTGAAAGTGATGTGGTACCCCATTTTCTGAACCCTATGATTCCTTTTACTTCTTTCTGACCCGCGTTCCTTTTTCCGTTGGTCAAATTTGCATTGTGTACCGGAATTTACTTGTTCCTATGCTATGCCTAAAACTGTACATGCTGGCATGCTGCTGATCTCACTTCAACCTTCGTGATTTCATGCATGTCTTATTTTCTCTGTACTGGTGATGTGTGTTTATACCTGCTTCTGCATTTTGTAGCTTGTCATGGCTAACGGTTGTAAGAACATGACAAACGTTCCTCGGGAAATATCGGAGATTGAAGCAGTAATGGCAGGGGCGCCATGGCCACTTGATAAATGACTTTGATGTGCTCTCCAAGAGCTTTGAATTCTTGTTGTAAACTTTCACCATACATGTGTGGTCGTTATTCCTCAACTTTTGTTTTGCCTTTTTTTTTTTTTTTTTTTTTTGGGGTCAAACAATAGATTTTGTAAGATTAGATGTTAGATTAGTCACCGATGAAGTTTGAACTCACGTCATCATGCAATGGCTCAACATCTTTCCACCACTGTGATAAATGACCATTTGCTTGTTTTGCTTTGTTTTGCTTTTCAATATTTTCCCTGATTGAACGATAAAAGAATTCCAAAGTAAAACAAACACTTCTAGAATGTATATATAATTTTCACTACGGTAAATTTCTCCGTGACGTTTTTCTCACTTACCACAACTTTTGTACAATTTTGAATCAACTTATTAACAAAATGTTGATTATTTAGGGCACAAAATCAGCATTGAAAGCTTCACACGAGCGCTCAACCACTGATAGTTAAGTTGGTAGTTAGTAACTTGTTAAGGTAATAATCATTTAAAGAAAATTGATCACTATCATAAAATTAAATTGTGAAGTGAATTCAAACAAATGTCAAGTTTGGTAGTGTTGGCTTGCAAATAAGTATAGGCGGGCAACAGCGGGCATTAAAGTAATTGTTGAGTCAGGTCAGTTGAATCAGGTGAGTGATTGATTCATTGTTACTTCATGTTGATGTCAAATTAAACACGTCATAGACTCTCAAGTTAGTAGTGCATTACCCTATACCCTATATGCGGGTAACAGCTAAGAAAAAAAAAAAAAAAACTAAAAATAATCCATTTAATTGACATGGTTGACTGTCTATTGGAATTATTGCCGACGTCGTTTCATCAGCATGTACCAAAGTCTCCGGCCACTTGAAGAGGAAAAGGACCTCTTCCGCTAATTTTGGAAACAAAAAATAAAAGCTCAAATCTGCGAGCCCATTAAGTACCCAAAAACCCCTCGCAAAACCCTAAATCCGCCTGTCAATGGGTCGCCGAAAGAACACCAACAGCAGCAGCAGCAGCAACCAGGGCTCGGGGGCGGGCTTCGGCCACCCCGGCGAAGCCGTAAAAGACGTCCCCGAGAGCTCCAACCCCGACGAGTCCATGTGCGACCCCGAGCTCGACAAGGCCGTCGATGACTCCATGGGCGAGCCGGAGGTCTCCTTCGTCGAAGCCGATGGCAAGACCAGCGCTGACTATTACTTCGACTCCTACTCTCACTTCGGTAAAGAAAAAAAAACTTACTTTCTTCGATTCTCTGTTTTTTGCTTCTGGGTTTTTGTTTGGATGGTCTGAAAACTTAGATAATGGGATTGGAAAAGGGGTTTTTTTTAGTTTTCGTGATTGGGTTTTCGGTGTGGGTATCGCAAGTTCAGAACTTGGTTGCATTTTGTTTTGGAAGTTAGACTTTGGTGCTGGTTTTCGTTTGATTGGGAGCGTTGCTTTAAGGTGCAATGGAAGCAAGTAATAGAATGGTCTCGAATTGTTTGCGTTTGGTTTTGAGCTCGGGTGTGGTTTTGTAAAGTTCGAACTTGGTTGGATTTTGTTTTCGAAGTTAGATATTGTGCTATTTTAGTTGATTGGGAGTTTTGATTTTAAGTGCTAATGGCACCAAGTAATAGAGCGAGTTGCAAAATTACGATGCTACTGAAAGGCTTATCTTTGTGTTTTCTTTTGATTGCAGGTATTCATGAAGTAAGTGCATTCCGCTTGGATGCGAAACGGTTCTGTATTTCGTTCTTGTAATGCTGATTTGGTGCTTACTGACTATTGTTATGTTGTAGGAAATGTTGAAAGATTTAGTGAGGACTAAGACATATCAGAATGTTATCTATCAGAATAAGTTTCTAATAAGGGACAAGATTGTTCTTGACGTGGGAGCTGGGACTGGAATTTTGTCCCTATTTTGTGCAAAAGCGGGCGCAAAGCATGTTTATGCGGTATGTTTTTCCTAATGAAAGTTTGTTAAAAATTTATTTCTTGGAATGTATAGTATTTCCTATTTTGCAATGTAGTTTGTTTATGTCTCCTTAATATTATTGATTTAACAAATTATTTTACCCACAGGTTGAGTGCTCCGACATGGCTGACATGGCAAAAGAGATTGTTGAAACAAACGGATATTCTAATCGTAAAGTTTTTGAAGTTCATACCTGCTTGTAGTTTCGTTCAGTCTCTTGACATTGGTTTGACAAACTGAGTATTATGCTTACACATTCGTTATTTGATAAATGCAGTAATAACCGTTCTGAAGGGGAAGATTGAAGAAATTGAGCTTCCAGTCCCTAAAGTGGATATTATTATCTCAGAATGGATGGGATATTTTTTGTTGTTTGAGAATATGTTAAATACAGTCCTCTATGCTCGTGATAAATGGCTTGTAAGTAGTATTTACCTTCCAAATTTATTGTTTGTGGTATCTTGGTCAAGAATACCTAAACTTCATGCAAACTATCCATTCAGTTGGGGGGGCGATAGGTTCCTGTGACCCTTTTCCAGGGACAGTCATTGCAGTTGTAGTGTTCTAGGGTCCTATTAGCTGATTGCTACTTGCTGATTTTTGCATAGAAACTATGGAGCCATGGCATAATCTTTTGAATGTGTTCTGTCTTTTCTTCTTTTAGGTAGATGATGGAATTCTACTACCAGACAAAGCGTCTCTCTTTTTGACAGCTATTGAGGATGCAGAGTACAAAGAGGACAAGATAGAATGTAAGCCTTTTGAATTTTTGTGCGTGTCCGGTTTAGGATCTGTGGAGGCTCAAATGTTCTTTAGTGTCACACAAATGAACGTGTAGCTTGCAGTGCATCTTGTTGATTTTTTGCTTCTTGCCTCTACTTTGCATGTTATTCCAGTTTGGAACAATGTTTATGGCTTTGACATGAGTTGCATCAAGAAGCAAGCCATGATGGAGCCCCTTGTGGACACCGTTGACCAAAACCAAATTGTTACAAACAGTCAGCTACTCAAGGTGGGAAACACATATCCTGTTTTCGCCCTGCTACACTACGTGAAATAAGTCTTTGCCCCCTTTGTGCTGTCAATTGTTTCCACTAATTTTCTTCAGTTACCTTCGTTCAGACAATGGATATATCTAAGATGACTCCAGGAGATGCTTCCTTCACGGCCCCTTTCAAGCTTGTCGCTGAGCGTGATGATTTCATTCATGCTCTTGTAGCCTACTTTGATGTGTCATTTACGAAGTGTCATAAATTGATGGGCTTCTCCACAGGTCAATAATTTTGCTTATTTTTATTCATTTGTGGATCAAAGTTTGTCTTAGAAATAAGGCCATTTATAGCAACATAGAAATGAAAAAGAATAGTTTTCTACAGCATTCATTTTAGTAAATTTGTTATAATTTCCTCAGTGGTGTTCCGCAACTCAATTTTTTCAGTAAACTACTGTATGGTGTTTGCGGATGAAGTGAATTGTTATTTTTGTATACAACCTGCTTCTCCGTAGGTAATCATATCTTTTCTGACAGTGAAATGCAATGCAGGGCCAAGATCACGGTCTACTCACTGGAAGCAAACAGTCCTGTACCTGGAAGATGTGCTAACAGTATGTCAAGGAGAGTCAATTGTCGGAAGCATGACTGTGGCGCAAAACAAAAAGAATCCCCGTGATATTGACATAATGCTCAAGTATTCGTTAAATGGCCGACGATGCACAGTCTCGAGGGTTCAATGCTACAAAATGCGCTAAGTTGCGTTTTGGTATTGCTCCATCAAGAAAGCAATCCATAATTGCAACAAACTCAGTGTTGTGGATTGTTGCCTCTCAGTAGACGTGTGCTAGGAGGCAGCATTGTAGCCTATGTACTTCGAATTATTCATTTCTTAACATTGTAATGTCAAAATTTTGATGCTAAAAGGTTTTGAATTGATCTATTTTACTTGATGTCTTGCAATTCTATAAATCTCATCTGTTCTTACTTTCTTTAAGATTTTTCACTCGCATAAACTCGAAAACTCGAGCAATGTAGCAGAAATTGCTACAATTGCAGTGAAAAACAACGTAGTATAAAACCTCAAGCAAATGTCTTCCAACTTTTGATCAAATTTTGTACCTAAAATGTCATAAGCATATTGATACAATTAACAAAAACCTGATTACTCTCTACTACAACTTCTATAACTCTCTGAGTTTGTGTTCTAAAGCTCTCCCTTGTTGCCCTTCGTACCCTTCTCTGAAGCCGTCTTTTTCACTCGCCGCCACGTTTGCCGGAACCAGTTAGAGACTTTGTTTGCATGCTTCTTTAGTGTCTCTCTGGTCTTCACAATTCCGGTGGTGATCTTCTGTTTCAAGTCATTCTTTGCACTCTCTTTTTCTCTCATGATTTTTCCCTGTTGAGTGAAAATTTTTAAATGTCAATAGAAACAATACGATTTTGGTTGGAGAATTTTAAAGTTAAAATTTTGTAATTACCAAATTCGAGGGTAACAGAGTCTCATCATCGTCATCATCATCTTCATCATCAGCATCTTTGCCGCCAAAATTATTCATGTTCATCAAATCATCTTTTGAGTACATCTTCATGCCTGGGGCTCCTGGCATACCCTGAAGAATGGTAAAGCAGAATATAGCTCAAAGTTCAGCACCACTAGAACGGTATGAAATTTCTCAGCGAAGTAAGGACAATTACCTCCATAGATTTCATTATCCTTTCCATTTCAGCTTCTTTCTCCGACTTGGCCACGAAAGCTTCCCCAGGAATCCTATTCTGGAACACACAAGAAACTATCATGAGTATCAAAGTAAGTGTCTTGATCGTGGAACAAGTTGTGCAAAGCGAAACATCTAGAATACTATCCTATGTAACATAATGATACTTGAGACCTCCATAATCGTGGTAGAGACTGGAGATTAACATGCATGAGAGGCAGCAGCCACAAATCTCCATGTCAATCTTACTAGGGTCTCAAATTTTGTAGGTTATGGAATAAAAAGATACTGTCGGTGGTCACGCATGAGTGTAAAAAGAAATTTCAAGGCCAGCATCTTTTGTTTGCTTCAAAAACCAAATTTGCATACCTTTAAGTTCAAGACATACAGAATCAAGTCGAAGATAAGAGTACGTAGATGGAAATGCACAATAGTTGCATGGATCATATCAAAAATAAAGTATGGAGACGCACAATAGAGCATGATCCTTGCAAACGCATTGCCGCAAAGAATGACCTGAATTGAATATCAAGTCAAAGAAAGCAGTTACCTTAGGAACTGGGGGAGGCTTGGTACTGCATGCTTTAGTGAGGTCTTTGCATAGATAATTCACCAATGAACCAAGGTCAGGCTTGGATGTATATAGATATTCTGCAACATCTGTATCAGAATACCCCAAAACCTGCAATATTCCGGATTCAAACTTAGTTTAATTGTAACAGATTAGCTTCATCTCTATATGGAATGATCACTTGTTATTCTATTAAGAAATCATTCGACAGTTGTCGACTTCCTCGGTCAACCAAAAGGAAAAGGCAGCGAATCTAACTAGATTGGCTTCAAGGAACAATTGTATTAGGAAGCAAATTTACCCAGAAAACCTCACCTCCTGACAAGCTCGCTCGATTGTCTTGCATTCGGAATTACATTGTCCTTCAGAACCTTGATCCACCAACTGAAAAGTAACAAATGATTTAGCAGGTGAGGACAATGAACAACAAAGTGTCCATACAACAATACCCGACTGAAGTTTGTACAACTGCATCGACATTGCCATACTTGCGCTATACACCCGCAGAGAAACAGATGTTCTCCTTCATGAAACTAAAGCAATAATTTCTCTGATGAAAACACCGTATCAAGTAAAAGCACGGAAAACACCAATTCATACCTCCAAAGCAAAATCCAAAAACATCAAACAGCTCTAAAACCGAAATCAAACCCAAAGCAATTGCTATTCATACCTCCAGCTTATCTCCTTTCTCAACTATATCAATCTGCAAAATCCAATCAGCTTCCTGCTTCTTCAAATTACAGACATTCTCCGAAATCTCAATGATCTGATACTCCGAGATCTATCGCCAAAAAAATACAAACTACCCTCAATCAAATTCAACAAAAGGAACAAAACCCACTATTCGAAATCTCAAACAAAAGCACTTGGAAATCTCAATACCTTCTTTGGGGCGATCTCAGCTCGCTTCTTCTCGACTTGCTGGTGCAGCTGAGATGCGAGCTTCTCGCAGACTTGGCATTTGATGAAAGGAATGTCTTCCTTCCTGGCGCCGGCCGCCGGCTTCTTAACACACTCGGAGAATGGCACGGACGCTAACACCGCCAACAACACTGAGATAGCTACTAGAATTTGCTTCAGCTTCGCCATGACTCTCTCTCTTTGGAATTTGAACAAGAACGCAGAGATTGAATCGAACAGTGAGGAGGGCAGTTAAGTTGGTGGATCGTTATGAGGATTCTTCACCAGAAAAGAAACGATCTTTATTGTTTATATTTTGGCAGGTTCAATCTTTCGTTTTGTCAGTACAACGATGTAGTCGTGAAATCGATTTGCTTGGCTGCTGTACGTGTTTCTCAGCATCTGATTGGCTAGCCAGAGTAACGTATGTGATGGTTCCACTTTTCTTTCAACCAATAGAGTACGAGACGACACGTCCATGGTCTGGTCGTCTTGAGAAGGAGAAGTTTTTCAAGGTGACGACGCAACTCATCGATACGATAACATATCATATGTTTTTATGTAAGTGGTGAAAAATTGTATTTTTTAAGTTATTAACTTTTTAACACACATATATTCCATTATTTGTATAGTAACATGTGTTATACCATCTCGTATTCCAGTTACATTGAAAAATCTCTTCTTGAAGAAGGAAAAAAACAAAGCATATTTTTAGATATCGGCATTGAAATTCAAAAATCATCATTTATTCCTTAAAATCCAATATTTGCTTGGCTTTGGTTTGTTTTTGTGTATTTCATTAAATAAGTGTTAAGTTTTGGCTTATATTTTGATTATACTCTCTAAAACTTGATTTTGGTTATACTTTATCTCCTGAAACTCAAAAGTAGATGCTTTATTTCTTAAAACTCAAAGTTCACTCTAAATTGTCTTGTTTCAGTTTTGATATTGAATAGATTTGAGTTTCAGGGGCAAGTGGAAACGAAATCAAGTTTCAGAGAATGTAACTAAAAATAAGTCTTCTAAAAATGTAATTTTTAATCCACATCAGCATATTTGATGGTTTCGGACGGAAATAATAGAAACAAGGTAATATGGAGCGAACTTTGAGCTTCAAGATGTAAAATAAGATCAAAATCAAATTACAGTGGGCGTAACTAAAAATAAGAAAAAAAAAGTAGTTTTTGAGTGTGTAAATGGATTTGTATCTAATTATCCTTTTTGTTGTCAAATAATATACCTTATTATCGAATGATCTAATTATCTTATTATCTAACTAATAATATACATTAAGTAAAAAGAACGTTAACTATGTCGTTCACTTATTTTACGATAAATGAATTAGTAATACTACAAAATAATGTACCACTTACATTAAATTCTTGTATAAACAACATGGATAGCTGATAACTTTTATTTTTTATAGTGGGTAAATTAGGAACTAACTTAGAAGACATATTGAATCACTTTTAAAAAGAAGCACTCGAAAAGCTTTTGTAAAATCACTTAGCTTTATTGAGAATCATATAAAAATACTTTTGGAACTAATTCTTAATAAAAATACAAGTAAATTTTGAAATAAGTACATAACGATTGGGTCTTTTAAAATGCACTTCAAAATGCTTCTAATACTCAAAAATATTTTCACTAAAATGCTTTCAATTATTTAAAGTACACTTTCAAATGAGGTGTTTTTCAATCATTTACCCCCCTTGGACCCTAGACCGTTGCATAGAATTAGGGTTTTTCTTCAGCTCATCTCCTTCTCTATCACATTCCTCACCGAAACACAAATTGGTCGCATTTCAGCATTCAACCATGGCTCTCGCTCTAATTGGCTCCACAAATTCTCCGGATACGCCAAACATGAAAACTCTAATCGGCAAAAACTACGACCTCAAGCTAATCCAATCAAGCTAATCCAATCAATCCAAAACCTTTTATCCGAATTTGACAAGTAAAACCCCAAATTATCTGACTTTTTGAGGAATTCTACGAATTGATGCAAGCCCGAGTCGACCCGCATCTCGAATCGGTTCTACGCCGCATTGATCTTTCGGAAACGGAATCATCCGAAAGACGACCCTTTGGATCGAGTGTCAGCCGCAGAGGACTTATTTCAGCTGCAGTCCATGTGCTCTGCTTCTTGCGGTTCTTCGAAGAGTGTCGCGCTGCTCGCTCCGGTGGTTCGCGAGGTGTACAATGTGTCTGTTGATTTGTTCAAGAGGGACTTGTCGTTGAAGAGAGAGAAGAAAGTGATGAGAAAGGTTAGGTATTTTGTGGGAACGATTCTTGGTTATATTAATATGTGTTCTTGCGAAGTTTCGTACCAAACTGGCTCTTGATATATCCAAATCAGACTCCTTGCAACCAGCAGCTTCTAAGTTGGATGGCAAGAAAGTGGGTGATGAACTTCTTTTTTACATAGATAACAAGGGAGAAGATGAACACAAAGATGAGGAAGATGAAAAGGTGAACAGATCCACGAATGCTGCGCATACAATGACATCGTCGGAGAAAAGGGGAAGAAAACGAAAAGGGAAAAACGCTGAGAAGAAAGAGAAGATAAAACTCGACAGCAGCCAATACGATGGTACCGTCTGGCTTTCCAACTTCACATAGCATAGACGCCGAGCAGCTGCAGTTTTATACTGCTGTTTCCGACTCCCCGTTCGGTCTACACGGCCCAGGATTTCCACTTGTAGAGGTACTGCACTTTCTTCTTTTACACAGATGAAGTAGAGACGTGCTTGGATGTGCCCCTGCTATCAACTTCACGAACAAGGCAACTCATTCTCTAGACAGGGTACTGCTTGCTCGAATCATATCTGATTCTGGAACTTCAGAAGAACGATGAACCTCCTATTGAGATGCATAGCATAATCATCACTCGGCCTACCAAGCTGGTGCTCTGCATACAAAGAATATGTATCAAAGCCACGAGCTCGTTTGCCTTAACTCATGTACGGACCAAACGTGACTAATGAAGAGACAGTAGTAGTTGCACAACATAGTTGAGAACCACAAGGACTCTGCCATGTCATTAACAGAAGCACAAGATCATCAGGAGCGAAGCAGCTCTCAACAGCAAGAACTATTGTGAAGTCCTGAAGAGAAACGACTGAATAACAGCATTCAGATTCATAATATATTCTTCCCAAAAATTATAAGATTCTAGAAACAAAGATAATAGAAATGCACTCAGCGAAAACCATCTACAGACCTTGTGGCAAGAAGAATTTGATATGATGTATGCAAATGTGGAGCATGAAAGCAGCCGCTTCAGGACAAAAAGGACTTTGAACGGGGCATACCTGCTCATTTTGTTCAACAGAGAAAGAAAAAAAAATTTAATCAGGAAGCACAATTTTTTGAATTGTCTAGTTATGATATGAAAAAAAGCACATAATATGTCGAGAAGAAGTACTCTGATAAGATTAGGGCGGAGTTCCTTTGGTACGAAACTGTGGCTCAGCTCGTAACGAGGAAAGTGTTTAGAATTTGCTGTGGGTGAACCCATATCCAGACCATAGAGCTTCTAATGCCATATCACCAGAAGTCCTTACAGGAGCAAGTTCCATTCTTAAAATGATGAAACCGCCTGATGTCACGAACAACTATTTCCCGATTTGTGACATCGGAGACAAGCTTCATAATGTCATGGCAGTCTCCACAGATGCGTAGATTTTTAAAGATCCGAATAGTTTTTGGATGACTGGTACTTATAAGGGCAAAACCAAGAGCCAACCTTTCACTGTGATATTGGAGATGTTCCTTTTTTTCTCTTTCAGTGATTCTATGAAGCACGTCTTCTGTTTCCGGTATATAACCTAATGAATTTAGCTTTTCTCCTAGTTCCTCCAATTTCAAATGAATATCCCCAATTCTTGGATGCGTACCATCTTGAGAGACAAAAATGTTGACTTGACCATCAACCTCAACCCAGCTACAACCAGGTTCTTTTTTAACACCTTGACTCTGCATTAATTTCCTGACTTTGCTAACATCGTCCCACCTGCCTTTGACTGCAAAGATATTAGATAGCAAGATATATGTTGAATCCATCTCAGGTTTAAGCTCAAAAAGCCTTCTTGCTGCTGTTTCACCAAATTCAACATTTCCATGCATCTTACAAGCCCCAAGAACAGTCTCCCAAATAATGGCATACGGTGTTAGTTCCTTTGTCTCGATAAAGGTTTCAATCTCATTAAACTTTCCAGCCCTGCCGAGAATATCAACCATACAAGCATAATGCTCAATTGTAGGAGTGATCCCGAAAACATTGCTCAGTGAGTCGAAGTGCTTTTTCCCTTCTTTGACTAGACCCAGGTGGCTGCATGCAGCAAGAACACCAATGAAGGTGATCTCATTTGGTATGGCACCTTCATCCAACATTGTCGAAAAGGCTTCAAGAGCCTTCTCTCCTTGCCCATATTGGGAATATCCACACACCATGATATTCCATGACACTGTATCTCGTGAAACCAAGCCCTCAAAGATATCCTCAGCATCACTGATGCACCCACATTTTGCATACATATCAACAAGTGCACTAGTAACAAACAAATCTTCCAGATGCCCACTCTTAATTACCATTGAGTGGAGCTGCCGCCCATTTTCCAGCATAGCTGTACGGGAGCAAGCACTCAAACAGCCAGCGATGCTGAACTCATTTGGCTTCACTCCTTCTTGTTGCATCTTATTGAAGCAAGCAACAGATTCCTCTGCTTGATCAGTTTGGGCATAACCAGTAATGATGACTGTCCAAGTGAAGAGGTCTCGATTACTCAATCTATTGAAAGCTTTCACAGCATCTTCCACAAACCTGCCTTTGGCATACATGTCAATGAGAGCTGTCCCAACAAAGTCATTATCATCGAGGTTAGTTTTGATAATATGGGAATGTATTTGTTTTCCAAGGTCCACATCCAAAAGGCTAGAGCAACACCTTAAAACACTAATGAATGAGTACATGTTGGGCTTCAAACCTTCCACAAGCATTTGTTGGAACACTCTTGGCCCTAGGTCAGATAACTCATGATTGTGTGCTCCAGATAAAAGGGCATTCCATGAAATCAAATCAGGGTTTGTCATTGCCTCAAAAACCTGAGCACCATCTAGCAAACGCCCACTTTTCATATACATTGTGATTAGAGCATTGCTGACTGAAATATCAGCTTCACAACCATATTTCCATGCAAAAGCATGGATACTTTCACCAAAATGAAGGTCTCCGAGATCAGTGGCAGCACTAATGATACTAGAAAGGGTAAATTTATTTGGTGAGATGCCTGTACTTATCATTTCACGAAATAGCTGAGGCACTTCTTGCCATTGCCCTTGTTGATCAAGGCATGAGATAATTGCACTCCAGGCCACTACATCAGGATTTTCAATCGTCCTGAATGCTTTTACCGCATCGACTGCCATCCCACACTTTGAATACATATCAACGAGACTGCAACCCAAGAATTCATCTATCTGAAACCCAATTTTGACGACTAGAGAATGCAAAAACTGGCCTCCGCTCAAATTTCCCGAGTTTGCACAACCCTTGAGGACAGTGGACAAGGTGGACTTGCTCAACCTTATTTCTGATTCTGTCATTCTGCAGAACAATTCCAAAGATTTTTTTCCGTCACCTTCCTGAGCATACCCATTCAGCAGTGCATTCCATGATACCACATCCTGCTCAGGCATACAAAATAACACTCTATCTGCAAGTTCCATATCACCACATTTTGCATAAAGACCGACTAGAGCAGAACCAACAAAAGCATCCAATAACAACCCCTGTTTCACTGCTTCAGCATGCAACTGTTTCCCAAAACCTAAATCGGAGCACAAAGAACATGCTTTCAGCCCAGTTGCCAATGCAAAGTCATTTGCTTTTGTACCATCTTTCTTCATCTCACAGAACAATTTAACAGCGTCAACACCGGAACCTTCGACTACAAACCCCTGAATTAAAGAAGTCCACGACACAACATCTCTTTCCGGCATCACATCAAGCACTTTACGTGCATACCCGGAGTCCCCACACTTTGCATAAACATTAACCAATGAAACCCACAAATGCGAATCCGGATCAATCCCTTCTTTTATCACCTGTCCATGAATAGCCTTCCCCTCATTCAAAGACCTTAGCGAAACACAGGTACGAAGCATCCCAGAATAATGCATAAGCCTCTTTTTGGTATCGAAAACTAAAGGCCTGGTTTTCACATTGCTTCCTACAATTTCCTGATCAGGTGAATAGCCATTATCTAATCTTACTTGACGAAGCTGAGTCTCAGAGTTTGGGGCAAATTCGAGACACGACCCACTGATGGGATTCGAGTCAATCACATCCAAAGCAGCACAAGACAAAGGCTTTAATTGAACAGGGAGCAATAGTGACCTGGAAACTGGACTAAGCTTGTTATGCAATCGAAGCGAGGGATTTTGGCAAATGGGCAACAAGAGCCTCCGGAAAGCAGGTGACATTTCAACACCAATTAAGCCAAATTCCATCTATTTCAAACAGTTTTTAATCATCAAATATATCAAACAAACAAAACAAAAAATCATACCAAAACGTCAGTGCACCAGAAAACTTCCAAAATGAAGGAACTAAAATTCAAAAAATTCAAGTTTTCAGAAATAAAAAAAGTTAAAAATTGAAGCTTTTCACTTACAGGTGCAACCAAGACGGTGACGGATGAACGCCGGCAACGGTGGTTGCCGACTCTCGCAGCAGCAGCTGGTGCTCCCTCTCTTTCTCTCTCCTGGGTAGGGTAGGGTATGGGTTTTACTTGAAGTCTTAAACCCACGGCTGTTCTCGCGGGATTTTCGCCGGTCCGCTTCCTATTGTCTGGATAAAGATGAAGTGTGAGCTACGATGTCGTTTCTTTACGGAATGGTTTTAGTACGGATTACGGGAATGCAAAATGCTGCGGTATCGTCTTGACACCGTTAGATGAAATCCAACGGTTGTAAGTTCTATAAACAGGCTTATTACTCGTTTTAAAATGTTTTTAAAATGACTAAAACTACTTTTAAATAAAATATTTTTGAGTCTCAAAAGTACTTGAATTTCATGTGCAAAGATGAACACCCGTAACTATTCAAGTCACATATCACAAGCCAAAAGCCAACCATATTTATTTAGGTATGAATGATTGGAGAAAATTTTCATTGTGATGAGAATACGAATAGATATACCACGTGTTTTTATGCTAGTAGTGAGAAATTTTATTTTTTAAGTTATTAACTTTTTAATATATATATTCTACTATTTATATAGTGACACGTTGATGTATCATTCCGTGTGCCGATCATACTGAAAAATCTCGTGAATGATTGAATACTTTGCTTGAGAGAGAGAGATTGTGTGAATGAATGGGAAGAGTTGTCCCCCTTTGTTATTGATTTCTCGTCATCATAAATAAATGTCCATCCAATTTGTTTGAGTGACTACAAAAGAATGAATGACAGTCTCCTTCCTACCATTTAATATAACATTTGATTATTTTTAATAATATATTTATGACATCCACATATTCTTCCTCTTCTGTATCTACACCAACCTCTTCCCCCCTCCCTCCGGACGCTTCTTCTTCGGCTACCCTTCTCCTCCTTAAACAATGAAAATTTTAACAAAAGAACCAAAAAATCGAAGCAGATTTCGAATCCCAACATCCCCTTGCATTGTTTCCAATTTTTTGCCTGTCTTCCGACAATGTCATAGGCCAAGTGAAACACGGGTCTTTATCGGTTTTAGTTTCAAGCCCATGCTTTCTGGGGAGAGAAGCTCCGGGGAGATGCAAGACGGGCTGAGCGGGCTCCTAGGGCTGTCGCTGAAATGGCATGGCCGGTACAGGCCATACCCCATGAAGAAGTACTCCATTGGTATCAACATTGCGTGTGGCTGCTCCTCTGTCACCATGGATCCACAAGCCTGGACCTGCATTAACAACCCCATCCATCCTCTATTGAACACGCTCTTTCGCTTATTTTCACAACTGTATGCACGTCTACCAATGAACGTGTAAAAACATGCTAAACAGAAAAAAGTGGACGTACCTCTACTAAGGCACTATATCTCCTGTCCAACTTTGAGGTCATGTGGAGAGCCTCCGAATGGAAGGGAGAGCTATCCCCAACAAAAATAAGTGTGCGACACCTTAGAGATTTTAACCCTTCGGTTATGTCAGGTCTCCTGCAAGTAGGGAAAACAAAGTTAGAGCACAGCAAAATATATTGCACTCATCTCTGCGGAGGGAGAACAAGATAGCAACTCCAGCACTATTTACCGATTAATTGCATGAAGAAATCTCCAAACATTTAAGCTCTGCCTCTCTTCCAGCAACTGAAGAAGAAACTTTCCCAGTGAATCAAACAGATAAAACCATTTGAAAATCCAACACTTAAAAAAAACATAACAAACAAGAAGAAGGACAATCGAATTGCTATTGAGGTAAAAGAAATTTCAATAAGCTGAAGCACTGACTTTTCTGCATGCTTGAACTATATCCGACTCTGGAACTTCAACACTACCACGAACCTCCTGTCGAGATACATAACATACTCATCACTAAATCTACCAAATATAGTAGATGTGAAAGAGAACCGATACATTGTCAGAGCACAGCAGTACCTTACTGAAGTATCGCTGAAGCAAACACTCTTTTAGCAAACCACACATGCCATAGAAATAAAGCATATTCGACATCACCTACAGATTATGACTAATCATAGGTAAAATATTTGAAATTAATCATTTACTATAAACATAACAGCTACGTTTAGAAAAAGGAACCTTATTATAAAACCATTCTGTCCACGAGGGCGCTTTGCATAAAGGGGATACAAGTATCAATCCAAGGACACGCTCCCTATATTTCATCTATGATACAAACCCAGATCAGTGAACTGAGATAGAATTTTTTTAAATATAGTTGCAAATGGTTTAAGGAACTTACAGCAAATAGGGAAATGATATAAGCACCCGCTGTCACCCCCATGCACATAACTGCACCAAGCCTGCACAAAGAGATTTTAGTGCAATAAGAGAAAACAACATTAAAACATGATTAGCAAAAAGGGAAACACGCTTCTACACCATTTGAATGTTGGAAGCAACAGCAAGGAGTTTCAAACACTCACATCTTGAAAATCAATTAAAATGAAGACTTAGTGTTGGTCGTTACCCAAAAAAATTGAGAACCTCAAGGATCTGATCTGCCAAGTCATCAACTGAAGGCACAGGATCCTCTGTACAAACTGAAGCAGCTCCTAACTGCAAGAACTCTTGTGAGAGTTCCATAGAGAAACTATGTGAATAATGGCTTTCAGTTACATAAAGTATTTTTCATAAAAGTTATATGATTTGATAAACAGATATAATAATAAAAATCCAATTGAAGCAAACCATTTACAGACCTCATGGCCAGGAGGACTGATATGATATATGCAGAAGTTGTGGAGCAGCAAAGAAGCCGCTTCCGGACAAAAGAATAACCCTTGGAAACAAGACACATCTGCTCAATTTGACAAAATAAACAGAAAAGTTAGCAATATATAGTCTAATTACGTCAAGAAGAAGCTAATAAACATAAATATATTTGAGCGCTTTGATGTCCATTGAGGAAATAATGTCTTGAGATTTTATCAGGAATAGCAAAGGGTAAATCTCAGATTGTCATTTCAAACAATGTAAAATGGAACCAGGACAATAGACTCTATCACACTTACGATTTAGAGCTAAATCAGGATAAGTGATAAGTGCAGGCTTCTCTTGGTCTCCATACACGATAACGGACACTGAACCACAGCCAGTTCGAATAAAATGTTCCTGAGGATGAAATATCATGATAAATGAGTTGCAGATTAACAACTAAACGTAATTGTCAAATAAAACATCAAAAAGCTGCAAATCAAACTATTTTACTACCATGATATTCTAAATATGATATAGTTAAAACATATAGCCATTTTCTCGAGATATCTACTGTGTTTTATCTATAATCAAAGAGGGAAAAAAACCCAGGAATCCAGGTGTTCCAGATAATTTTATTCCCTAAAGAGCTTCCCATGTGCACTTATACTTTTTCAAGGAACTCAAAACTCACCTGCCTCATCTTTGACATAACTTTGCTAAAAAAAAGATGAAACAAATAAGTGGTTCTGGGTATCAATCATTTAAATCTTTTGAATAAGGAAGGAAAGAAAGTGGTGACAGTTAAAAAGAGAAGCATGGAATCAAATATATTCAAGAAGAAAATGACTTTAAACTAATCAGAAACCGATAAAAAATAAAATAGGATACAGATGGCTTGTTAAAGCAACAGCTAGACTCGTTGATAGAGTTGAGAAGTAAGACAAAGGAAGGTATAACTTTGGTTTCGTCAATATAGGATAACAGACTTTGAATAAACCCCAGAGATGGACTCATCGAAGCAACCCGCTTCTTGCCAACAAAGAACGTCACATAAGAAGCAAAGAATCGAGAAACCGAAATAAGAAGAAAAAAAACATAGAAAACCAGAACAGCAAAAATGTGAATGAGAAAAGATAAAACCCCGCATCACTGAGTTGACGCTGAATTCCAAAGAAATCAACAAAAGGGTCTAAATCAATAATCTGTACACTAATGATCCAATTTTATCCCAAACATTTATCTTTTCGCATAAAAGTTTGAAACTCGAACAATACCACAATGAGATTAAAATAAAAAGAGAATGGAAAAGAAAAGATACTTCACCAATACAACAAACCAGGTGAGATTGCAAATGCAGCAAGAAGATGTTAAATACAGAATTTGATGTACCCATAACGATAAAAAACAGTGTAGAAAGAAAATTGAAATCAAGCAAATAAGTCACACGCAGATCTAGAATTACCATTTCTACATCTCCAGCATCCCAAAATTTAATTTTTCGCAAAACCGATATCAAGACAAATAAGTAGTCGCTGTCACATGCCACAGGCCCACAGAGGACTTGCGGCAATGGAACAACAAAGAACCCAGAATACAAAATTTACAAAAATGCAGCTTTCCCGTCCATCTTCCCCCGTTTTCTCGGAACCAAACAGTAAATAACTCCACAATTTCAACGGATTCTAACCCCGATTTTCCAGAATCCGAACCCAAGAAGCAAAATACAGAAAATTCAAAATTTCAAAAGATTAAACTCCAAAATCTTGACCCAATGCCAATCAATTACCCCAACCTCTCATCTCGCAAACCCAAAATCCAAAAACAAACGGGTAATAAAAAGGATAGAAAAATTCAAAAAATTCAATCTTTGAAGTAAAAAGCTCGAACCTTTCCACCGAGATAGATCTTCTCCATATCGAGGGAGACGGCGTCGTTTGATTCAGCCATGAATTGCACTCCGCGCGTCTCCCAAACAGCCCTCCTTCTTTCTCCTCCTCTGAGTTTCTCTCTCCTTTCCTTCAAGAAATCGTAGGCCTCTGGCTTCGCTGTGGCTTATATACAAAGCGACTCCTCTCTCTCCCTCTCTCTCTCTCTCTCTAAACCGAAGAAAATAACCTGCGGTTAACCACCACCGACGCTCGCAACTCCCAATTCGTCCAAACGGAATTTTCAAGTCGTTAAAAACTTTATTACCCGCTGTCAAATTCTGGCGGGTGTCTCGATACGGCGCCGTTAGTGTTAACTTTCTCGCGGCTATTTACCGTAATTTGATGCTCGTTTTACGGATCCGGATTTACAGCTTCATTTTCTTTTACCTCAAAGGGAAATGATAGTGGCATTCCTCCTTACCTTATCATTGTGTGTTTGACTATAAGTGTTTGGTGTCTAGTGACGTGGAGACCTGTCGTTGGGCGAGCTTTGGTGTGGGTCCCATGTGGGCCATACCCTCTTCTTTCTTTTTTTCTA